TTTTGGACGACATGCTATACTATGACTTTTTTCATGGTTATGGACGACATGCTATACTATGACTTTTTTCCATGATTTTGGACGACATGCTATACTATGACTTTCTTCCATGATTTTGGACGACATACTATACTATGACTTTTTTCATGATTTTGGACGACATGCTATACTATGACTTTTTTCATGATTTCGGACGACATGCTGTACTATGACTTTTTTTTCATAGTTGTGGAGGTCATACTATACTATGACTTTTTCAGTCATGGACAAACTGAACACAGCTGGCATCAAGAGAAAAAAAGACATTTTTATTAGTGAGGTCAACACAGTTGTCTACAAATTCAATGTAGGTCACAGCTGACATGTTTTTGTCCATTTCGATCCTCAGAGGGAAACATCTGAAAAGCAGCTGGGGTGCGAATTGCAGCTTTCAAAAGAGGGCAGCCAATTGCCACAAGCCATTTAGCCTCTGTAGAGCTGTGAAGAGAGCAAGGTTATGAGGAGAGGGGAAGGTCTTCTGAATTTTACAAGTTCTACATTACAAACAACTTGAAACATGTTTTTAAAATGAGAAAAAATTACAAATCTGCACCATAAGATCAGTGAGAATCAAGTTATCCAGATGTTGCAGGAAGCGTTACAGTAATATGAAGTTCATTAGCTCAAAGTTCTTTAGATATTAGGGGATAAAATTTGAAGGATTTTGGTTGAATTCACCAATTGTGCTGCTGTATTTTTTGCTGTGGCTGGAGACTCCATAGCAGCTGCTAAAGGGATTGATGTTGATGCTGTTGTGTATAATGGCAGACATCTTCCTAAACAGACAAAATAAACTGAATTTAACTGAAAAAAAAGGTCTCTAAGGATGCAGCACAAACCTATAACATTATCCAGGAAGCTTCCGTGTCTTTGTGTTAATGAAGTCTGAGGTGTCTGTTAAAAATTTAGGTTAAAAAACTTTATTTAGAAATTAGAATTTAACCTAAAGTTAGAATTATACTGACCACATCTGCTTCCTCCCTCTATTGAAATATAAATTTGAAAGAGACAGAAGCCTGAAGATCAGATTTTCTGATTCAGGTTAATTTTCTGCTCTGACCTGACTGAACTGAATCTAAAATATCTCATTGACTCTGTGCAGAGCGGATCTTCGAGGATCATGAGAACCTGGTGGAGAACCTGCTGAACTGGACCAGAGACAGCCAGAACCGCCTGATGTTTACCGAACGCATCGAGAAGTATGCTGTGTTCAAAAACCCCCAGGTGAGATACACACACACATATATACAGGAGAGGGTTTACCAAAGGTCAGCCTGTTAAATCAAAACTATACAGATGTTTTTGTGTTTCTAATCGGTGGTCTGTCTGCTGCAGAACTATTTGTTGGGGCGGAAGGAGACATGTGAGATGGCTGAAAGAAACAAAGAGGCTCTGTTAGAGGTTAGTTTGTTTTCTCCTCTTGCACACAGCTGTTTCCTCAAATGCATCTTCACCCAGAAATCCTCTGGACAGTCTCCACCTCACAGTCCTGAGAATGACAACTGGTGCTGATGTTCCAGGTCCGAGGCGCACAAACACACAAACACACACACACACACACACACACACAGCTGAGTTTCACCTCACAGGCTCCATGCAGGCTGCCTTATCTTGTTGCTGTAGGTTGCTGGGGCCTTATTGAGACCTGCAGACACAACTTTTCCATACTACCATTATCATGGATAGAACAGTGGTCAGTTTCATAAGAATCAAATATTACATATGATACACATTTTTATCCTGCCCCCCCCCCCCCCTTCTGTAATCAGACTCATGTGTCCCTCAGTCCAACACAAGATGTCTTGACAACTCACCTGCTCTCCATTAAATCTGCGGTGGCAATTTGTCTTCAGAGATTTAGTCATTACCTTGGTGACCCCTGGACTTTTGCCTGTTGCCACAATCATCACAAAATTAACTTGGAAACTAAAGTCCAGATTGACCAGTGACCAACTCTTGAACCAGCCGTGGCTCTGCTCACTGTCACTGTGGACACAGTTGTTATAAACCAGCCTGTTTATGTTACCAACACTCTGCATGTTGTCCAGTGGTCGTGTAGAACCAGGTGAGTTTGGCATGAATCAAAATATCTGAATTAGTAGAAGATCCAGAAAACAAACCTTAATCACAGAGTGATTATCAGTCAATCTGTCAACAAATGTTACTGAAACTGTATCTGTTGTGTCTCTGTGTGTGTCAGGAGTGTTTCGGTGGCAGCTCAGTGTCCGTCCCAGAGATGGAGGGAGTGCTGTGGCTGAAAGAGGACGGGAAGAAGTCGTGGAAGAAACGCTACTTCCTGCTGAGGGCTTCTGGCATCTACTATGTTCCCAAGGGCAAGGCCAAGGTGTGTGTGACTGAAAGAGACTGAGAGGCAGTAAAGAGAAAACATCAGTATTAATTTAACAGTAATGATTTTTTCTTATTGTAACACTGAAAAACATCTAATGTCATTGTGTGTGTAGGCATCCAGAGACCTGGTGTGTTTCCTTCAGTTGGATCACGTCAACGTCTACCACGGCCAGGACTACAAGAGCAAGTACAAGGCTCCTACTGACTACTGCATGGTGCTGAAGGTGCGTTCACACACAAGTACATTTACAAACACATGCAGGAGTGATGGGGTTTTGTAAATCTGCAACTACTGTCTGGTTTGTGGTACTGCAGTCTACCATTTCCACCTAGTGGTGTGACAGAGTAAAGACAGTTATGACCAGAAAGGACACAGGAACAATATTTTTGTTCATTGCATTACTGCAGTGGTTTGATTTCAATTTTAGACAGTAAATACATCAGAAATAATTTATTTACAGTGTTTGGAGCAGCAAAGGTGACAGGAATTATAGTAAAGTCACGAGTAGTAATCTGGATAGTAGCAGTAATACGTAGGGATGCACCAATTGTGAAATTGTGGACCAGTATGGATGTTTGAAATAACAATTAGATTTTATGTTATAATTTTGTTATTATTTATTCCCCCTTTTATGCCAAGAGAAGAAAGAAATCATTATTAAGAATAAATATCTGAAATGTTTTAAAGTCATTCAGCCTTTTATTACACTGTTTTCTTTCACATGAAAAACACCATTTAAAAAGAATGACAACTTCAGAAGCCTTCTTACCATATTTATCATACTTCCCTCTTTAATATCTGTTTTCAATTGTTGTGAAAACATCAACAAAGCTCTCCCTCTAACAGTTTTATTAATTCAAGAGCCCCACCAAAAAGATTTAATCTGAACACATCATAAGAACGTCAAAACTGACCTTCGTCCAATACTCAGTTTTACTGAATAGCAGGGTTCCCGCACATTTTCATGGACAAAATTTCAAAACTTTTCAATGACCCATATTAAATATATATTGTGTATAAAGTGACAGAAAATAAATTTGGCTTTATGTCATATTACATTGAAGGTTATCCACAGAATACTGTATCATTTTAATTACATGCAACAAAATTTCATGACTTTGCCAAAACCTTTAAGGATTTTTACGACTCCCCTGATCATGAGAGCCTCAGAATAGAGTTGACAGCATCGTAATGTAACTCAAGTTTACTGGGTCCTTTTGTTGTGAAGCCAACAGGGGACGAAGGTACGCTGTTAGTCTCAAGCTCTGCTTTTTAGACTTTCGCAAAACTGACATGACACAACAGAAAATCATCGGCCACTGCCATCGGTGAATGTCTTGATCTCATCTGCTGTCAACAAGGCAAATTTCGGCCGATAACTCAATGCATCCATACTGGGGTTGCAGCAGTATACTGGTTTTAAGATACATGGTGATATTAATCATACGTGTATATTTGCTTAACTACGATATTGAAGGAGAATCTCACCTTTAGTTTGTTTTAAAAAAAGGGAGACTTTTTACACAAACTTCCATTTTTAAAAGTGGTTTCAAGTTTCAGTTACAGTAAGAAAACATTCGTTCGACCATTTCTTCAAGCGTCATTTTGACTTATGACTCTGTAACTGCGATATTTTCTCAGACAGTTATTACACTGTAGAAATCTGATCTTGTTGCAACCCTAATCCTTAGTAATAAGTCTACTTGTTAACAAAGTGTCCTGTAAAATAATCCAGTGTGTGTGTGTGTGTGTGTGTGTGTGTGTGTGTGTGTGTAGCACCCTCAGATCCAGAAGAAGTCTCAGTACATCAAGTACCTCTGCTGTGATGATGTCAGAACCCTCCAACAATGGATCAACAGTATTCGAATCGCCAAGGTAAAAACTTCAGAAAACATAAATGCTGCTGCTCTTATCATACGCTAATGAAACAGTGATATCTGAACACCAACAGTCTCCATGCTGCACTGTGACAATACCTGTCTGTCTGTCTGTCTGTCTGTCTGTCCTTCAGTACGGGAAGCAGCTGTACATCAACTTCCAGGAGGCGATGAGGAGGACGGAGGCGGCCTACGATTGGTCCTCCCTCTCTTCTTCCTCCATCAAGTCAGGATCCAGCTCCTCCAGCCTTCCAGGTCCGTCCGTCTGATTGAGTCGAGATAATTCTTTTCTACAAGTTATTCTAAGGCAGAAAAAATTAACCATCAATATTAATAATATCCATTAATATATAAAAAATAATGAGCATCATCATCAGTAGTAAAAGTTGAACATAACGTGTGTGCGCTCCCTCAGAGTCCCAGTCCAACCACTCAAGCCAGTCGGACAGTGGTGTGTCAGAGATGACATCATCAGGCCACACCCGCTCCCAGAGTGTGGTCAGCTCCATCTTCTCTGACGCCTGGAGGAGAGGAACACAAGGAGAGGTGTGAACACACACACACACACACACACACACACACTGTGTCCTGTCCTTTCTCCTGTCTTTGCCCTGTTGACTTGTGGACTACATTTCCCATGTTTCCCCTCTGCTTCCCTGCCAGCGGTCAAAGGTGAAGGGACGTATGCCAGTTCCTCTTTGTGCAGGAGGAGGAGGGAGTGGAGGTTAGACAGGAAGTGATGTAACAGGCATGTTAACAGTTCGGCTGCAGCCTTTTAAACACTGAGATGTCTGTGTTGCACTTGTGGATGTCGAGTTAGCTAAAGCTCTGAATCTCAGTACGGACTATGATGTGTCTGACATGCACAATGTTATCATGTGAAGTCTACAAGGACTCTGCACTGAGGTGCTGATGCGCTGTAGACCGAAACACCATGACATCACACTAACAACAGTCACTTCTGGGCAGATAACTGGCGACTGACTGTATTGGAGAGAAATGTGAAATCGGCAACGTCCCAATCCAAAGCTATGTCTCAAGAACGCCTTGAGGGAATTTCTTTGAATTAGGCACAAACATCCACTTTGAGTCAATGATGCACTGATTAGAATTTAGTGGTCAAAGGTCAAAGGTTAAGGGCACTGTGATCCAGTTCATCTCATTCTCGTGAACCCTGTATCCAAAAAAACCTTGAAGGAACTGAACCAATTGACGTTTGTTCTGCGCCGTTTCATTTTATGTACGTGATGCAGGACCTGGAAAGTATAGTAAACAAATTGTGATTCGGTCTATAAGACAGGATTTCACTTGTCGCCATAGATGTGTGCCAGTTTTATGGACCTCATAATCTGAGAGGATTTTTCTGAACAGTATCTCAAAGGCGAGTCCTGCAAGATGTGTTGACGGTCTCATCTCGGGGACGACATGGTGCTTGATTTGAACAGTGTAATTTCCAGTTACATTAATTTGAACACAGTTAAGTTATTATCAGGTCCTCAGCAGATGATCCGCACATTCGTAAGTGGTCAGATTTCTGAGATTGATGAACACTGCTGCCTCACTCTGCAGAATGCAACCAACAAATATACATTTTACATCAGTTAAAAGAAAGAGATGTGTGACCAGGGATACACTTGATTTGTCAGACCTCGCAGGTGTTCCAGAATAATTTTCTGTCATTGATCCTCGTATGAAATTATCGGACCTGAAGCGCCCTCCGACAGTGTTTCCTAATGACTCCAGTATTTCAGGTGACTGGTTCAAATCTGTATCTGGGAAGGTCTTAATCTTCAAAGACAAAAGACAGCTGTTTTTCAGCCCTCTGTCATTACATGTTTTTACATCACTAGCATTTTCACTGTTGTTAAACCGGTCCAACTTAAAGAGACCAAAAACAGCAAATAGTTAAGATGCTGAACACTGAACTGTTTCTTTGCTGGTGTTTTATATTTCTGGTTTATATTTACAGCTTGTAATGTTGCACATTAAATCAGGATGAACTCAGACTGAGTTGTTGATCATCAGGAACAAGAGTCTTCAGATCAGCTTGTTGTGAACGTGACTTAGTTTGTTTATATAAATGTGAACTGTACGTCTGTTTTTAATGGCTGCAGCTGAACTGTTGATTTGTTCTAACCTCGTGGTGTGATGGAATGTCCTAACCAACAAGTAATATGACAAACAATGACACTATTTAGTCCACGACTAGTTGGACAAGAGTTGACCACCACAGTGACACCATGAGGAAAACTTTTCTCACAGATTCTAACCTGTTAAATTGACGGATTTTGAACAGCACTTAGTTTGACGGTTTCAGCTCCAAACCTGTTTGATGCCACTGAAAGGCCGTCTGATAGTCACTTAGCAAAACTGCAGTTAAAATGGATTTATGATGAATTGCAGATGTTTCCGCAACATTATATGTTTTTAAGAGAAAACTTGAAACCTTACAAACTGAAGCTAAGCTAACGGCAGAGCAACAGTCACAGTTTAGAATCAGTTCAGAAGGATGAAAAATTGAAGAGCTCTAATAAATAAGTCCATCAATAGTTTGGGTTTTGCAAACTGAGGTTGAATGAGGTACTTATTACCTACAGTAGATGAAGGGCAGCGTGCCCTGAGTTCGGAGAAGCAGGCAGGAGCACCGCCACGGACACTAAAGCCCTGTTTCCACCCAGCAGTACGCTTCAGTTCAGTACAGTGTGCAAGTTTAATGTTCCCACAGTGAAAGTTGTGGATGGTCCCAATAGAAGCGTTCCTTAGCGTCCCCATGTTTGGTCCCCCCTCTGTTGGGGTACCTAGCACACAGATCTGGTACTAAAAGGTGGAGCTAGAAACCCTGCAGTCTGATTGGTCAGTAGAGGACGGTCACTCTGCTCAGGGCTGAGTTGTGTCTGGTTTTGAGGCTCATGTAACCACTGTTCATACTGTGGAGAGTTTTATTAGTAAACTGTAACTATAAAATGAAAGGACGTTTTGCTGCCTCTCACAGCAGCTGGAGAAAGAGAAAAAAATAACTTCATTCACTGGGCCGACTGCCGGCAACTTTTAAGGTGGAACGTTAACTTGTAATGTTACTCAATGCATGAGTTGATGACGTGAATCCATCAGCACACCTTAAATTTCACTGTGACAACTTTGACCATCACTTTAGTTTTATATGACACACACTTTTAGTAATGACTTTTACAGGGGCTAAACAAGTCCCTGCCTCGTGGTAGGTACTCAGAACGGCCCCGAGAAACTCCTGGCTGGGGCTTGGGGATTACTTGGTGCTGATTGGATATACTCAAGGCGGGATGTGACCGTAACCGTTAGCTGTTAGCGGTGTCTGTAATAACTCAATAAACGGTCCGTAGTTTTTCCAACTGATATCTTAGTTACAACATGATTGAGCTAGCAAAGCAGTTTTGTGTTGCTATGTGTGGTATTTATTCAGTTTTGGGAAATCACGATGTCTAGAAAGAAAGGGACAGCTAACAGCTAACAGCAGCAGCAAAGCTAACATCAGGACGTCATCTGTTAAAAGCCTCCCGTTGTCGGATACGACATGAAACTACTCCAGTTAGCTCAGTCATGTTGTAACTAAGACATCCACTGGAAAAAATATTTTTTTCACAGACCGTGACCGAAGTTATTAGACACCGCTATCGGCTAATGGCGTCCCTACGCCCCTACATCACCCCGGTCAAAATGGTCGCGCAACGATTATGTCACATTCAGAGCCCGTAACTTTACAGGAACCTTCCTCCTACTCCGCTCTCAGTGGAGACACAGAGGTTGAGAGGGCCGAGTGAGAGGACGTTCCTGTAGTAGCTCCTGCCCCCCAAATAGTACCAGGAACTTCTTCAGTGGAAACGGGCCTAATGTGCTGCTGTGGACGGGGGCAGCAGCTAAATGTATTTTAGTCACCTAAAAAAATCAACAACACTTGAAGTGCATATATATTTAGAATATTTTCACTTCTTTAACTTACTCTCAACCAGCTCTTTCAGACAGGGAAGTCATTAATGGCTTCGTTGGAAAAGGCCGTCTGAAGGTCAGTTAAAGCAGTGAGAATTTTCTAAATATAGCGTGCAGTTAAAACTGATATTGATTTTTTTTTGGTGGCTGAAATACATTCAGCTGCTGCCACCATCCACAGCAGCACATCACTTAGCTTCTGTGTCGTTACTCCTGCTCGCTTTTCAAAACTTCTGTGAGCTAACCGATGTCTACTCTAGAATATACAGTGACTATAGATGAGTACCTCAAACAACCCCACTTTAAAAAGTCTGAACTGTCCCTGTCAGGTGATCATTGTAGGGAAGCATGTTTTTTCAGTTGGTGAACACATTTTGTGATCTCATTATAACTGACCTTATTCAGTGCTGCAGTGTGTTTGGAGTTTTAACAGCGGTGTGTTCTCAGACTGCTCTGGTTTGATTTGTTGCATCATGTGTTGGATCGTTTGGTTTCAGAAATGGATGAAATTGTTTGTTGCTTGTGGTAATTTTGTTTCTCCTCCCCAAACCCCTTTCTCTTGTGTCTCCTCACCTCTTTCTCCTCCTCATTACGTCTCCCTCTTCTTCCTCTCTCCTCCGTCTCTCCGTCCCTCTCCAGATGATGAGGATCGACCCTATCAGTAGGCCCATGCCGGTCCAGATTCTCTCCCCCCAACCCCCGACCCGGACCAGCTACACCGACGGCCTCGTCCAATCTGAAGACTCCTCCCCGTCACCGCCCTCGCCTCCTCCACCTCCGCCTCCTCCCGCCATCCAAAGTGTGGCCCATCAGCAAGCGCCAACCCCTTCCTACGTGAAGTACAGCACGCTGGCTCGCCTGCAGGGTCAGAACCAGTCCTGGGCCCAGCAGGCAGGAGGCGGACCACCTGCCCCTCCAGTCCAGTCTGCAAAATCCAACTACAACACCCTCCCAGCTACCTACAGCACCTCCTCTCAGCTACCACCATCTCCTCCCCCTCCTCCTCCACCCACGGTGCCAGCTCCTGGCTCAGCCATGGCTGCACTGAAATATGCTCCATCAAGCCCCTCTGCTCTCCCACCACCACCCCCACCTGAGGAGGACATGCAGGAGCCATCTTACCTCCCGCCTCCTCCACCAGAGAGCCTGGAGGCCAATGGGTTACCTCCACCTCCCCCTCCGGAGCCCATCCCCAACGCCAGCAATCACTTATCCAACACCGGCCTCCAGCAGTTCCTGGCACAGAAGTTTCCCAACATGGTGTACGACTTCACGCCAGAGATGAGTGAGGATACTTCTCCTCCTCCTCCACCTCCGGCTGAGCTCTCACCTCCAACCTCCCTGCAAGTTCTCCGGCCTGTGTCCCCTAATGCGCCCCCTCCTGCACCTCCCAAAACCTTCACTGGTGGTTTTCCCCCTCAAACTGCTCCCAAACCCTCGGGTCCTTCTTCCCTTCCCATCGCCCTCTCACCTGTGTCGCCATCGCAGCCCTTCAGCGGCCACGGCCCGGTGAAAAAGCAACAAAGCTTCTCCACAGGACACTCTCCAAATCAGCCTCCTCCCACTCTGCCAAAGCAGCACAGCCTCTCCTCCAAAAACCTCGCCATCTCTCCCTCCTCCTCTTCCTCAGTCTCCATCGCGGCCGCTACCTCCTCGTTGGTCAAACAGATTGTCAATCAGTTCCCAGGAAATGCTGCCCCCGCCTCTCTGCCCGCCTCTAACTCCATGGAAGGATCGAAGTTCAGTGCTCCTCAGTCTCCTCCGGCGGTCAAGGCCAAACCAAAATGGCAGCCAGGAGGCGTTGTGGCTGCGCAGTCCCCAGAGTTCCCTCCACCTCCTCCTGACAGTTCCGTGGGAGATTTCCCTCCTCCACCCTCCTCCAAGACGGGCTCCCCCATAAAGAAGTCGCCTTCCGCCTCATCCACAGGATCCATGAAGCGTGGGCCTCCACCGGCCCCACAGAGAGCCTCCTCCATCCGGTCCAGCTCAGGCGAGACCCAGGACGAGAGGCCGAAGAAGGTGGAGAGCCTGGTCAGCAAATTTGGCCAAGCTCCTCAGACGGGTACCTCATCCAGCTCCTCGTCAGCGACTGGGTCTCCTTCGAAAGATTCCTCCACGCTTCCTGCTCCACTTCCGAAGCCGGGGAAGCTGAACTTGGCGAACCTGCCGTTGGCTCTCCAGGGGCTGCAGACGGGCCAGCACCATCAGCCCGTTGAGTTCCCGTCCCCTCCTCCCCCACCTCCCCCCTCCCAGCCGACTCACCTTGACTCGCCTGACTACTTCCCACCTCCCCCCAGTGACTTTGAGCTTTTCCCTCCTCCTCCCCACCCATCAGAGTTCCATCACCCTCCAAAGGTTGCCGTGGTGAACCCCCAGCCTCAGATGCAGCCGCCTCAACAGTCGGCAACACCCTCCTTGTCGTCCTCGTCATGGAAACAAGGTTCACTGAAAAAGGGGGCGGTCCTTCCTCCGACACTGAACCGGCGGACCAGCAACACCACCCCATATGACAACACAACTTCAATGCCCCTGTCGCCACCTCCTCTGTCTCAGACCCCACCTCCCTCCCTGGTCTCTTACTCCTCCTCCTCTCCTGTCCCCCCCACCTCTCCGAAATCACCGGGGCCGAGCTCCCTGGCGCTAAAGCCCCACTTTCTGGAAGACCTCAACCGCACCCTTAAGAGGAAGTCGGTGTCTCGCCACGGCTCCCTCACCTCCTCCCACCTCATCTCCTCCTCTAAGATGGAGCCTGTGGGCACCATGGACGACATGGCGCTCCTCCCGCCCCCGCCCCCTGAGCTCCTGCAGCAGCAGCAGCAGGGTGTCCGCGGACACTCCCACACTTTGTCCCGCCACCACACGCACTCCCACTCCACCAAACATGCCAACATCTCAGGCTATGCAACGCTGCGGCGAGGCCCACCTCCCGCTCCGCCGAAACGGGACCAAAGCACCAAACTATCCAGTGACTGGTAGGAGCGAGGACGCCGGCTGGAGCCTAAAGAACTGAACTGACTGTTTAGGTCTCACGCAGAGAAGAAATAATCAGTGTCTGTCTTGACTTGTCCGTCTCTCCTCATCCGAAACCATCCACCCTTGGATTCCGAGCAAGTAGCAAGTCGTCTTTCCTACTCTTAATCTCAGATTATGATTGTTCCTATTATCCTCATTATTACTATCATTACCAATACATGTTTAACCCAATGACATGAGTAAAAATATATATATGTATATATATATCTGTATACAAGCAAGCCAGAAAATCACCTATCAAGCTTTTTTCACAATGTCTGTGCAGCTTTGCATTGAAATATACAAAAGACAAGACTTGAACGACAACAGCAACAGAGACGGTTTGCTGCACAATAACTGGTACTGCATGGAGCTGCGGCAACGGAAGGAACGTTACTGATGAAGGGAACGATAATGGAAGGAATGAGAGGAGCGAAAGTGGGATGATGTGTATAGAAGTGTATGTTGTGAACTGGGGGAGGGGGGTGGGGGGTTGCATTGCCATTTAATTCAAACTTTTTGTGTGTGTTTTTATATAAGATTATTTAATACTGGAAAGATATTATTATAATTATTTTAAGTTTTGAACAAGTGTCTGAAGAGTTTGACTGAACGTGGGTGTGAACTCTCAGAGTATGTCAGAAGTGTTGATCTGAAACTAGCGCACAGCTGGTTCCACTGAGTCGGATCATGTCATCCAATCATAGTTCGATAAATTAAGAGCGCCATGGCTGATTGGTTTACGACTCCCACAGGATAATACTTCAGAACCAGTAAGGCTGGGCTCAGATTACAGGGGTTTGAAAATTAGGGATGAGCAAGAGCACCATTATCTCTATCTGTATCTGTGTCTGTTCAACCAACTCATGATCGGTGTCTGTATTTGTACTCAGAATGGGCGCCGTTTATACCAAAAGTGGGTGTGGCTCCAATGAAAAGTGGGTGGGGCCTAAGATGAAGTTGTTATTGTACACAGCAACTTTTATATATTTGTTACAGCTACCGAAATTAGGATTTTCCCTTGTCATCAGTATGAATACTGACACTTTTACTTGTGTAATACTTGTATCATCATCTGCCACCACGTTTAGATTTTGTTTTTAGAGCCACTGGGAGTAACCTGGGGTTCAGTATCTTGCCCAAGGATAATTTGACACACAGGGGATCGTTAAACGTTTTCCCACACTCACAAACAGCTGCTCGTCTCATCCATCACTCTGATCAGCCATGACTGGATGGACTCCACAAACTGCTGCTGAAGGAAAATGTTATATCACTTTACTCACGTCTTCCCTTCCTTCTGCAAAGTTAGATGTCATGGAGGCCACCGGGATAAAACCTGTAGGGGTGCGATTCACTAGAGGCCCCCCAGTATCATATTATCATAACACACAAATTAAAGAAAAAACTGTGTCAGTGTCTGTTATATTTAAGGAGATAAAGTTTTCAGTCTGGTCATCTCGCTTTAATCATTTTTATTGCAACAAATTTTATTATTGTAGTGAGCTACCAAAAGTCTAATCTGTATTTTCAATATTAATAACTAATAATGAATCTTTACATCTGTGTTTTGATACAGTGTTGACACGCAAAATATTGCAATACTATGCTGTATCAATTTTTTTCTCCAGCGCCTGATAATTTGCCCACGTTCACCGCCTTTCTCTGGTCTCAGTCGACCAAATCATCCATCCACATTAACACGACCAGAACAAGCAGAACCTCCTTTAATCTGAGCTCAGCCTGAACCAGTCGGTCAGTCAGCGACACCAAACCAAACTCACTCTGGTGACAGATCCTGTTCTACAAACTCATCAGTCTGTGAGTGTGATAGATATGAAATCATGCAGCTAATCTGTCTGACAGAAGGTGATCATCAGTTTACGAGTTAATAAAGTCAGTCATTCATCTGAGCGGCTGCTCGTCACTCTGCTGGTTGGTTATTAAAGGTGTGTGTGTCCACTTTAAGCGTCAGAGATGCCCTGGGAACAAGTGCCTGAAAAACAAAATGCTTAAACTGCTCACAGGTGTGTGGTGACATCATACCGCGCAGACAGACACCCTCGACTTCTGTGATGTCATCAGCTTCCTGACATTATGAAGCCTGGAGTTTACCGTTCACACACTGCCATCTATGGAGACAGAGAGTCTGAGGAAGCTCTGAGGAGCTGGTGTTGGACAACAAGCAGACACCAACATGGTGCTACTACAGCACCACCCAGTGGTGGTTTGACAGAACTACTGTGACAGACAGCAGTGCCTGGTGCCCAGAGGACTGAGGGAGTCACATGTCAAGCTCTCATGATCTCCCATATCCAGCTGTAATTCTTTGTTTCTTACTCGGGGTAGTTTCTGTGTGTTGCCTCTGTTTCTGCTCCTGTAAACAAGCACTTTGTTTGTTGCTGTAATTTCAAACTCCGCACTCCGCTACTGTGATCAGTGTTTCAATGAATGAGTGACAAATACAAAGCCTCTGAATTTTATTTTACCCAAATTTCAACAGAATTTAAGCCGATCAACTTATGATTTTGGAGTTTAAATCATAAGTTGATTAACTGGTTAGTTATACGACAAGAAATACATCTGCAGTCATGATTTAAGTCATGTGTTCAGGTAAAACTGTCCCAATTGTTGCTGAACCTCAAATATTAAAAGGATCTGTATGCAACATTCAGAGCTCATCTGTGGGATTGCTTGCACACAGCTCTCAACATGGAGGTGGCTGAGCAGGTGGCTAGCAGCTAAAGCTGCTAACAGCGCTTTTAAAATCCCTGTAAACATGTCAGTGTGAGTGAAATGGTCCTGCAGTGAATGTGTCACAGTGGGACTAACACACCCAGATCATGTGACTCCTGCATGTATACAGTCAATCAGAGCCAAACTGGCCGAGGCGCTCTGAGCATGCTCCACAGTTTCCGCCCCGGGCTTTGACCCAGAAGTCCAATAGCATTAAATGTGTAAGAGAAGAAGAAGCCGGTAACAACATGGAGAAATCTACATCCAGAGCCGTGACTTTTTGGACGGACCAAATGTACAGAGCTGTAAAGTTGTCCACCATGGTAGCAGTTAGCTGCTAGCTAACCGTAGCTAACTTGTTTGTCCATTGTTTGGTCTGTGACGTAATAGGTCAACAGGAAAAAGGTCCAATACTAACAAGCTGAAAGGGGGCATATCTCCACCTTTCGTAGAGGAGTCAGGAGAGTGGGTGGGGCATGAAGAGGAGGAGAGTTAACATCAGCTGCACTCATTGTGTTGCTGAACCTTCACAAGTAGAAACATCTCAGTGACAGCTGACATAAAACAAAAGGATCAGACTCGATATAGCCAATCCCAATAAATTCAAAAAGATCCGATCAGGACATCTCTAATCAGCAGTAACCGCCATATGAGCGCAGTGCAGCTAGCCAATGAGAGACACCAACACATTCTCACTGCGACCTCGTCACATATCGACATTTGGTCACGTCTGTGTTGGTTGTTGACGTTCTGGGACGCCGTGTCAACTTCAGCCTGTTACATGCATTGTCTGTTTTCAAAATACACTTCTGTTTTCACAGGAAATGTACAGTTTGCATACAGTCTCTTTCAAAATAAAAGCACTACATCGGTACAACACCGCCAACTAATGTTTTTTTCCTTCAACAACACACACACATGGTTGAGTTTAGGAAAAAACAGGGTTTGGCTTTACAAACTTAAGTAACCACCGGCCTGCCAAATGAAAGTCAGTGGTTGTTGGACCCATCGGACCCTCCAACCAGTCCTACTCAGACTTCCACCACCTTAACTTTTGTTGTTGTCCCAGAACATTTCCCGGACACCAGCTGCGTATCATGCCGACGTCAAAGGACAGCTTTTATTGTCTGTGTCTGACTGGGCTTGATACATAAGCGCACATGTGCAGCCAGCCCGCCTACCACAACAAAGAACAGAGAAGCTCAGATTACAACACACACACACACACACACACACACACATACAGAGGAAGCGTGACTTCATTCTCTGCTCAGGACACCATAATGCCACCATATCTTTATGAAGAAAACAGTGGTTTGCTGCTGCAGTAATCGTCTGAATCTTGCAAACAGAACCTTTAATATTTACTAGATTTCTGTCATCTCTGATACTGAACCAAAATCTTTTGGGTTTGGACGACTGTTTGGACAAAATGCTGATTTGAAATACGGTAACT